CAATTTACCTCCTATATTTTCCTGCGTTAAGTTATATTTTATATTTTTTCTTTTCCTTCAGTCCCGCAGAATTCCTTCATCTTCATTTCAAACAATCATCCAGGTGATGTAAAAAAAAAACAACTGAATGTTGACAATTTAGAACTTATTAAAAACTTTTATGAGCAACAAGAAAATTAACTTCCCGAAAGATAACCTACAACAAAATAAATTGAACAAGTGTTCCGCGAAAGGTAAAAATAAATTCAGGAAATGAAAGTAAGTTGCCTTAACGGAAAACAAGTAAAAAAGTGTCAGTCGGTGTTGGCCACAGCCTAAGGTTATCGGAGGTCTTCGAAATTACCCACTTGTTTTATTATTGTAATGTTAAATATTGCAAACAACCGATAGAAGTATCGACATTTCATCTATAGAAACATGTTCCGACCTATAAAAAATCTATGTACCCCCAACAGGGGTCGTTAGACACCAGAAGACATATTATAAGTTTCTATTCATAGATTATTATATCAATGAAAGGAGATCTACTTCAATTAAAAAAAAAAATAATAATAATCAACTCGTGAATAGGTCGCGATCACATGACAAGTGTGAATCGACGAACTTACATTTTTGTATGACGATAAAGCAACATCCAGTACGTCTATGAAAACTGTTTCAACCAGCAGGTCAATTATCAGTCCACTCCTTCTAGTACTTCAACCATAAATGGTAAAATTTTTTTTGAAACTTGTACATTTCATATGAAGCGAACCGAATATCCAAATTCATCGAAACTTTACACAACGTAATATTTTCCATTATGTCCGAAGATGAGACACGTCGGTCTACTTGTTGTGGTACCTCCCACCCAGTGTTATTTTTTTAATTTGTTAATCCAATATCAAGCGATTTGAACCAAACTTTGCAAATTGTAATATTTTACAAAACATAGATCAAGTCCGATGATGGGAACCATTGTTCCAATCTCTTTGGTACCTCTGAATGAAAATAATAAAACCTGTGCATAATTCTGCAAACCTCCGCAGACCACAATTTTTCCTTTTTCTTTTAGCTGGCTTGTTGTCCCATAAGCCGAGCTTAAAAAAGATTTCCAGGCTCATCGGTCTTTTGCCCAATTTGAAAGACCATGTTCGGCAATATTGTTTTCTTGATCTTTTTATCTTATTCGTGGCCTTCACCTTCTGCGTGATGGTTCGCTTTTATATGCCTTTTGAGCAAAGGACATGTTCATCTATTCTCACAACATGACCTTGCCAACGTAGTCGCTGCAGCTCAATCCGTCTAATAATGCCTATGTCCCAGAATAGATGGTACAATTCATAGTTTATTCGACGTTGATACTCACCGTCAACGCAGATCGGGCCATAGATCTTTCGGATAATTTTTCTCTCAACACTTATAGAGCTGCCGCATCTGCTTGCGTAGGTACCCATGCTTCAGATCCATATAACAACACGGGTAGTATCAGCGTCTTGTCGAGTGTGAGTTTGGCCTGGCGGGAGTGTGTCTTTGGTCTGGGAACCATTGCTCCAATCTCTTTGGTACCTCCGAATGAAAATAATAAAACCTGTGCGTAATTCTGCAAACCTCCGCATACCACACTTTTTTCTTTTTCTTTTAGCTGGCTTGTTGTCCCATAAGCCGAGCTTAAAAAAGATTTCAAGGCGCTTCTGCCTTTTGCGCAGTTTTTCCAATTTAAAAGACCATGTTCGGCATTATTGTCTTCTTGATCTTTTTATCTCAGTCGTGGCCTTCCCCTTCTGCGTGAACCATCAGCAGGTTCGCAATTTATATGCCTTTTGAGCAAAGGACATCTTCATCCATTCTCACAACATGACCCAGCCAACGTAGTCGCTGCAGCTCAATCCGTCTAATAATGCCTATGTCCCAGAATAGATGGTACAATTCATAGTTTATTCGACGGCGATATACACCGTCAACGCAGATCGGCCCATAGATTTTTCGGATACTTTTTCTGTCAAACACTTCTAGAGCTGCCACATCTGCTTGCGTAGGTACCCATGCTTCAGATCCATATAACAACACGGGTAGTATCAGCGTCTTGTCGAGTGTAAGTTTGGTCTGGCGGGAGGTGGCCTTGCTTTTAAGTTGTTTGCTCAGACCATAGGAGCATCTGTTGGCCACCACAACCCTTCTCCGAAATTCAAAACTGATGTCATTCGTTCTTTAACTACCTCGAAGCTGTAGGTTTCCAGTTCCACAGTTGGTCCGAGTCTAATGTACCGCTTGCGCGTTGATACCATCAGCTTGGTCTTCTCGCCGTTTACTGCCCGACCCACTTTGGCAGACTCCTTCTCAATTTGGCTGTTACCGCTCGCAATGTTCTACCCATTATGTCGATGTCGTCGGCGTGGGCTAGTAACATATGCTGTTTGGTGTACAGAGTGTAATTTCTGTTCACATTTGCATCTCGTATGACCTTTTCCAGCAGGATGTTGGATAGGTCACACGACAAACTGTCACCTTGCCTGAATCCTCGTTTGGTATTGAAGGGCTCCGAGTGGTCCTTTCCGACTTCAACTGCTGACCTTGTGTCAGTTTAAGTTATCCTGCATATCCGTATTAATTTTGCAGCAATGCCAAACGCAGACATGGCTTTATACACCTCTGAACGGATAGGGCTGTCGAATGCGGCTTTATAGTCGACGAATAGGTGGAATGTGTTGATGTGTTTTTCGTGGGTCGCTTCCAGGATTTGGCGCTAAGTGAAAGTCTGGTCAATAGTGGATTTTCCAGGCCTGGAGCCGCTTTGGTATGGACACAGGGTGCTGAGGTTCCAATCATTGGGCATGCATTCCTCTAGGCAAATTGTACATATCAGCTGGTGCATGCTCCTGACCAACATCTGACCACCGGTCTTAAATAGTACGGCTGGTAATCTGTCGGCACCAGCTGCTTTATTGTTCTTCAGTCGATTAATTGCTATTCTGACCTCATCTTGGCTTGGTATACACTCTGTACCGTTATCACTTATTGGTTCTTCTTCACCGCCACTATTTGATATTAGAAGCTTTTTAAAATGCTCCTTTCACATCCTCAACACGCTGTCTGTGTCTGTTACCGAGTTTCCTTCATAATCAATACAGGAGTATGTGCTGTTTTACGCTTTGGCAAAATTTCCGGACTTCATTCTGACTCCTGTACATCACGATTTGCTCACGCTTACGTTTTTCTTGTTCTTTCTTCTTTTTTCTGAAAATACGTTTCTCTTCTCTTCTTTTCTCCCGATAATTATCCATCGCATTACGTGTTGCCACTGTCTGCAGTGTTGCCTTATACGCTGCGTTTTTCACATTACCATTACGACACTCCTGATCGTATCACGGATTTCTTGATGGTGGTCTTTAGTACCTAAGTGTTGCTTTTGCTGCAGTTTGTGGAGAGTGGGCAATTCTTTGCCATTGTACTTATATACTATTATCGGGACAAGGAGTACTTTCGTCAAGCAGTTGGCTAAGGTGAGCGGAGTAGGCTTCTGCTATCTGTTGTGTTTGCAGCTTTTCGACGTCAAATTTCCGTGTTACATTAGATCTCACCTTTGCAGCTACATTAAGACGGTTGTGAACCTTGGCTGCCACAAGGTAATGGTCCGAATCGATATTCGCTCCTCGTATTTATCTAACGTCTAAAACACTGGATGAATGCTTTCCGTCTATCACAACATGATCGATTTGATTTCTCGTTGTTCGATGGGGAGAAATCCAGGCGGCCTTGTGTATATCGAGATGCTTGAGTCTGGTGTTTTTTTTTGCTGCCGCGAAGTCAATCAACGTCATGCCGGATGTTTCTTGATGGAGGCTGAATTTTCCGACGGTGGGGTCAACAGAAAACGGGAAGGTCGATTTTATTCCCTTCCCGATTTTTAGTCGATTTTATTCCCTTCCTTTGGATTTTGGTCGTATCGGTCGATTTTGGTCGTATCCGATTTTTGCATTAAAATCTCCTGGCAGAAATTTAATGTCTTGGCCAGGGCAGCGGTCACTTTGTGGAAGAGGATATAAAAAATTGAACCAGGCTCTATCTTTATCGACGTTTATAGGGTGTATTTGAATTGTCCAAGGCGGATTCCGGATCCTTGGTGGATAAATAATTCTGTCACATAAAGTTGCATTATACGACCACGTTTTTACAAATGTTCCAACCTGTAACTTGTATGTCAGCAATTTGGTACTTCGTATCTCAACTTAGCTTATCAAATCTTTGCAAATCTAAGGATCGCTTACGATACCTGGTGCTGTGCCTACTGTTATAAGAAAAATTATAAGGCAATTTCTTTTCATTGGCCAGTGCAATCAATATTTCTATTTGACGTTAATGGCCGTTAAATTTTAAATTTATTCCAAAAAAACAATAAAAATAAGAAAATATTAAACTTGAACTATAAAACCATTCACAGTCACTGTGAAAGACATTAAGAGAAAGAGAAGAAAAAAAACGTGTGCCTAAAATGCGGATACAGGTGAATGTTCACAGAAACGTAATTGGTAATAAAAACAAACATTTCATTTCAGATAGTACCTCAAGTCATGCCGGCATATTGTGGGTGACGACATATAGCCACTGGATTTGCATTTCCATATCAAAACAACACCAAAAACGAAAAAAAGAAAGAAGCAACAACAATTAAAATAAACAAAATCAGCTTTTGAATGCTAAAACTGCGCAAACTCAGCAGGACCATACTGTCGAATGGACTGGACTGGTGGAGTGAATTGCTTACGACTAGAACTCCATTACAGGCGTAGGTAGCATAATAAAAACAAATAAACTCTCGGTTTCATGTTGATAGCTATGTTAGCCAGCTAGAACGTGACGCGAATGGTGAAGTGGAGCCCTCAGATAAGTAGCGTGATTGATGACTGAACAGCCAGTTAGCCGGCCCTATTGCGTTTAGTTGAGGTCTTCTATAAAAACGTACATGCAAAGAGAAATGGAAACTCAGTTTACAGTCAGTCACCCGAAGAGACGGCAACATTATGAAGCCGTGCCGCATAAATGGAAACCGAAAGTTATTCGTTTTGGTCACTTTGATGACCTCGGTGTGTGTCTATACTCAAGCGGCAGCCCTGGAAGGTCGTGATGATCTTGAAGTTCTCTATCCACCACAATTTACCACAAATCGTATTGTGGGCGGTGAAGATGCACCCGAAGATTTGGCACCCTATCAGATCTCATTACAAAGTTTAAAGGGTCGTCATTTCTGTGGTGGTGCCATTATCGATAAAAGTTGGGTCATTACAGCTTCCCATTGTGTGGCTGGTGCCAAACCCGAAAAACTCAAAGTCTTAACTGGGGCCTATAACCTAAAGAATCACACCGGCAAATACTATTATGCCGATCGCATCGTTATGCATTGCAGTTACAATAATCCCGCCTATGCCAACGATATTGCCCTGATTCATTTGAATAGTTCCATTGTATTTGATGATCACACCAAGGCCGTAGAATATGACAGTGAACCGCTAAAGGAAGGTGATGATTTAATTTTGACCGGTTGGGGTACCCTTTCGTTGGGTGGTGAAGTACCACAAATGTTGCAGACCTTAACCGTGAAATATGTCCCTTTCAAAGAGTGTCGGGCTGCCCATGACAACAGTACTTGGGTGGATATTGGCCACTTGTGTACCTTCAACGATAAGGGTAAAGGTGCCTGTCATGGTGATAGTGGTGGCCCATTGGTCCATAATGGTAAGCTGGTGGCTTTGGTAAATTGGGGCCGCCCTTGTGCTAAGGGTTTCCCCGATGCTCATGCCAGAGTTTCGTATTATTATGATTTTATACGCACCACCTTGAGTGGATGTCAACGTGAACCGGAAAAGGCCAAGGAGCCAGCTAAGGAACCACCAAAGGAGCCAGAGAAAGAGGGTGAAAAGGAACCAGAGAAGGAGGGTGAAAAGGAACCAGAAAAGGAGGGTGAGAAGGAAACAGAAAAGGAGAATGAAAAAGAAAGTGAGAAAGAAGTGGAAAAGGAGGTTGGAAAAGAAAGTCCCATCAGCACAAGTGCTTAAGAAGTTGGATCATAATGTCCATTATATATTTATTTATTTAATTTAAAATTATATTTTAAGGCCAAGAAAATAAAAATATTCATATTATTATGAAAATAAATTTTTTAGGTATTTTTTGTAATAAAACACATTGTCTATTTATTACTTATTCCGATCAAGTGAAGTTGTTTGTTAATTCGGTGGTTTCGTTTCACAACAAACTTCAATTAAATTTTATTTACATAAACTTTCTAAAACAATATTATGTGAAGCACATTTCAAAATCGATCGAAAGTGTTTTTTTATAGGCAAACCATCTTGTAAAGTTAAATTCGAATATACACTGGTGACCAAAACTAAAGCAATTAAAATTAAAAGTTTAATAAATATCGCTTAAAATTTTCAAAATAAAGATATCATGTTGATTTTATGCAACTATATTGGATATAACCGCAAGAACAAAGCGTCGATGAGGTATGGTCGCCTACATGCCCGGAAACTATCAATAAAGTTATTTTATTTCTGAAAAGAATCGGAAAACCAGATTGCCTTTCACAAAAGCTCATATTAATTGGAATTAATTATAAATATTATGCTTTCGGATGAATTTAAGTTAAATATTCAGACCGTAAGAAAGTCCAAAAAAATAAAGGCTCATACCGCAGTATTGCAAAGGTACTGGGAAGCATTGAGGAGGATCAGCAATGGTATTGGACTGTTTTTCTTTTTATGGAGTTCGATATATTTACGAGATTTATGAATTAATATATCGGATTGTTTATACAAATGTGTTGGAAAACGCTATGGTTCCCTTCGCTGAAGAAAATCTACGCTTGTTTTCGGTCTTCAGTTTGCCAATAACTTCCAAACACACAACGAAACATGTCAAAGATTTGGTGTGGAAGTCAAAAATGAGAGTTTTATAATGGTCAACACAATCCTCAGATATTTACCCTAAAGAATTTTTGGAGTATAATATATAGCAAAAACAAGTGAAAAAAACGTCAAGTTCGGCCGGGCCGATCTTAAGATACCAAAGTTTCGCCCCAATCTAAAAATCAGACGATACTATATATGAGAGCTATATCTGAACCGATTTCAACAAAACTTCATAAATACCAAACAGGACCATATTTAGTAGGCTGTGCAAAATTTTGTCTCAATCGGACAAATATTGGGAGTTTGGTGCACCACTTACATATAATTAGATAAACTATATATGGGAGAAATATATTTAAAGCTGAACCGATTTCATCAAAACTTACCGTACAATACGCTGTCTCAATCAGAAAAATATTGGAATTTAGGTGCACCATTTACATAAAAAAACTATATATGGTAGCTATATCTAAATCTGAACGGATTTCAACAAACCTTCGTACACATCAAACTGGACCACCAAACTGGTGCACCATTTAAATAAACCGATTTCAATAAAACTTCGCATACAACAATCTGGACCTAATTCAGTACTCTGGCAAAATGTTGCCTCAATCGGACCAATATTGACAGTATTATATATTGACAGACTATATAGGAGCTATATTTAAATCTGTGATGATTTCAACCAAAGTTGACATATATATTGATCGAGACCTAATTCAGTACTCTGTGCAAAATATTGTCTCAATCGGACCAATATTGGGAGTTTGGTTCACCATTTACTTAAAATCCGACGATACTTATTATGAGTGCTATATCTAAATTTGAACCGATTTTCTCCAATTTCAATAAATCGACTCAGAAAGTGATTCTATGCATATTCTCAAAAGAAACCATGGGTCTATCTCGATTCCTTTCGCCTGTTACAAACATATGCACAAAGACATAATACCCTGTACCCCAGTGTGGAGAAGGGTATAAATATTTTAAACCAGTGAGCGGAGCAGTATAGTCGGACGGGACCGACAATACGACACCCTCCACAACTACCACGCAATTCGCACTTTCTACGGATTTTTATTCCGAGCCTGGGCAATATTTCATGATATGTGCACCCTCTTGCCCTTCTCTCCCTAACACTGACAAATTTTCCGAATATTTCTAATATTCAGTGCAGCCCTTCAGATTACGTGTTGTGATTTTTGGCTTATAATTGAGGCCTATAGATCGATTAAAAAAAACAAACAAACAAAAAAATTAGTTTTCCCAAAATTTTTATCTGATCACCACCGAAAATTACTGGCCATAACTAGACCATAAAACATCATGGAAAATTTCTAAGCGATCAGCGCTATATTTCTCTACTCTAGTCTGGTAAGGAGTTACTAAATAATATCTGAATACGTAAGTACCTGTAAATATTCAAGTGTAACTCCCATATCCGACAACATCATTGGTATCAATTTAAAGGTCAACCACTCCTCTTGATTAAACTATCAACATCTCGGGTATTTGCCTTTCACGAATAAATATATACACCATAGAATACAAATTTTATAATTTTTCACACAAAAGTCGGGGTCCATTTGACCCGCTAAATATCGACTGATCTTTATCAAAATAGACATGCTTGTTCTTTGGCCCGATCTTCTTCTCCATCTAAAAATTCGCGATGTGTGGATCATAATTACGGACTCTGGAGCGATCAGAATATCAGACAAAAATAATGTTTTTGGTCCATTTCATCCCCTAAATATTAACCGATCTGCACCAAAAACAATGGGGGTCTTCATTGGCCAGAACCCATTCTACATGCAAAATTTCGTGAAGATTGGTCCAAAAATGTGGCATGTATCGTGTTTAAAAATTATAACACACATGTCTAGATCAACTCAACTAGTCGAGATATGACGATCGGTATACTTAATGCTGGGTCTTGGACCAATATTTCGCGGCGTTACAAACACTTGGGGCTGCACAAAGCTATAATACCCTGTTAATATAGTTGTGTAGGGTATACAGATTGAGTTATTATGTTAAAACGTTTTCTAAGAGATTTCTAACAATCACCTTATAATTCTTCACAAAAAACTTAAATTCTAAAACTTAAATCTGGTATGAGTTAAATTGGCTCACTTTCGTAAAAGTACTCAATATCCGTTAAGTTAGCGTTAATAATTATTTTCGGGAAATATATTCGGATTCCTAAATTTTTGAACTGGATATCCAGACAATAAAACCGATACTTTTTCATATTCATAATATTTAAACAGTAGTATTTGCTTTAACGAACGTCATTACATTATTTGTAGTAGTATTTTAGTAAATAAAATTAAAAATCGATATTTTCTATTGCAGCAACAGCATTTTACGATTTTTGTTGCAATGAGTTATTTAAAATTACTTTACTTTACTTAGCTGGCTTGTTACGGTTGTTCCATAAGCCGAGCTTAAAAAATATTTCCAAGCGCGTCGGTCTTGCGCGCAAATCCACCAATTTGGAAGACCACGTCCCAATATGTTGTTTTCAACTTGGTCTTTCCATCTAATTCGTGGCCTTCCCCTTCTACGGGAACCATCAGTAGGCTCGTTTTTATATGCCTTTTGAGCTGGGGCATTCTCATTCATCCGCACAACATGGCTATGCCGATGTCCGCGTATAAATCGTAAAGCTCGTGGTTCATTCGACGTCGACATTCACCGTCGACGCAGATCGGCCCGTAGATCTTTCGGAGAATTTTTCTTTCAAACACCCCAAGAGCTGCCTCATCTGCTTGCGCAAGTACCCTTTCTTCTGAGCCATATAATAGCACGGGTAGTATCAGCCTCTTGTAAAGTGTGAGTTTGGTCTGGCGGGAGGTGGTCTTGTTTCTAAACTGCTTACTTAGACCATTCTCCGAATTTCAAAACTGATGTCATTCGTTTTATTTATGGCGGTACCAAGGTATATATAGTCTTTAACTACCTCGAAGCTGTAGTTCTCAAGTTCCACAGTTGGTCCGAGTCCGAATCTTGCAGGAATGCTGAACGTAGATATGGCTTTAAACACCTCTGAACGTATAGGGCTGTCGAATGCGGCTTTATAGTCGACCAATAAGGGGTATGTGTCGATGTGTTTTTCGTGGGTCTTTTCCAGGATTTGGCGCAGAGTGAAAATCTGGTCAATGGTGGATTTGCCAGGTCTGAAGCCGCATTGGTATGGACCGATGATGTCATTGACCATTGGATTCAATCGTTCACACAGCACATTGGATAGCACTTTATATGCGATGGGAAGGAGACTTATTCCACTATAGTTGGCACATATCGTCTTGTCTCCTTTTTTGTTCACGGGACACAGGATGCTGAGGTTCCAATCATTGGGCATGCATTCATCTAGCCAAATTGTACTAATCAGCTGGTGCATGCTCCTGACTAGCATCTGGCCACCAGTATTGAAAAGTTCGGCTGGTAACCCATCGGCTCCTGGTACTTTGTTGTTCTTGAGCCGATTAATTGCTTTTATGACCTCATCTTGGCTAGGTGGTATACACTCTATACCATCATCTCTTATTGGTTCTGGGGTATCATCTTCAACGCCACTATTTGATACTAGAATATTTCAAAGTGCTCCTTCCAGATCCTCAACACGCTGTCTGTATCTGTCACCAGGTTTCCTTCTTCATCTCTACAGGAGGATGTGTCTGCACCAAAGACTTCGTTTTGGTGTTATACTCGTTGGTAAAATTTCCGGTCTTCATTCTGACTCCTGCACATCTCGATTTGCTCACGCTCACGTTTTTCTTGTTCTTTCTTATTTTTTCTGAAAGCACGTTTCTCCTCTCTCCTTTTCTCCCGATAATTCTCCATCACGTTACGAGTTGCTACTGTCTGCAGGGTTGCCCTATATGATGCGTTTTTCACATCAGTACCATTACGACACTCTTGGTCGTACCATGGGTTTCTTGATGGTGGTTTTTGGTACCCAAGTGTTGCTTTTGCTGCAGTTTGTAGGGAGTGGACAATTCTTTGCCATTGTGCTTCTATACAATTATCGGGACAAGAAGTGCTTTCTTCAAGCAGATGGGTAATCGGAGTAGGCTTCGGCTGTTTGCAGCTTTTCGACGTCGAGTTTCCGTGTTTTATTTGATCGCACCTTT